GATTACTACACTAATAAATTTATTTAACAAATGAATAAAGTTCATAATGTATATGGTCTTGAATGAAGATTAATAACATTTTCACAATTTTTATTTTCACATACCACCTCCTCATTTTTTTTTTGGAAAACTAAAATGCATTTCAGTTTAAAAATTATTCTTAAAATATTGCACTACTGTGATACTTAGATGAAAATCACACAACTATAATATACATTCCTTGAATAAAATTTAAGTAAGTATTCACATATTTTATTATTACTCGTAGATATCCATTGATATCTATGGAAACTAGTGATTTTTTTTTTCTCTCTAGTAATTTAAAATAAAAAATAATATTAAAATAATTCTAGGATTCTCCCTAGATCTTTAGCTCCTTGATTCTTCTCAAGCTTCTCTAAGACTTCCAATGGAGGAGAAGCCTTGGATTTCACCACGGTTTGGTGAAGAACACCCTTCAAGAGGCACCACTCCTCAGGAAAGAGATAAGCCTCTTCAATACTCACCACACTCTTCTATGAAAAGGAAAAGAGGATTGGATGAATATCAAAGAGGTTAATACTTTTAGAAGAGAGAAATTGGCTGAACAATTTTAGAATTCACTCTATGTTTCATCAAAAGTGATTACAAAAGTAAGAAAAAGGTTTATATAGGGTGGGGGAAACTTATGGTGCAAGCTAGGCTAACTATGGTTCAAGAGAACCATGGTTAGCTTAGCTTGACCATCCTAGATGGTTTAGGAGGCTTGTGGAGCAAGCTTCTAACTTAGAAGCTTGGGAAGCAAGCTAAGTTAGAAGCTTGTAGCACAAGCTTCCCAAGTGTACAAGGCAACTAAGCAATTCGATGAAAGGAAGACAAGCTAGGCGACCCACTTGTTTTTCCATATTTAATCCAATCCAAAAACTTGGAGTTGGTTTAGTTAGGTTCACCATATGATGGTGAGACCTAGCTAAATCAATTCCTTGGAAAATATGGAGCAAAACAAGCCCAATATGTAAAATTTGGCCTAGGCCCAATTCTGG